ATAGATCTGGAAAAGCAGGAAAATATTTGGCACAAAACAGGAAGTGCAAAAAGAAGATAAGAATGGGACAATAATCTGCTGGTTATTATTGACAGACTATTGCAATTAAAAAATTTATTTTGTGTGAGATATTGAAAGATATTCTCTTATTTGAATATGCTCTGAAAACAGGAGACACCAATAAGCAGAATTTTCTTGCAGAGTTACACAGTAGGCATAATATTTTTGGTTACATTAAATTTATTAAAAATACATTACATTAAAAATAAAGTGCAAAGAGCTAAATGCAATTCAGACGATCCAAAGAACAAACATATAAATTATCCAGAAAAATAACCTATTTAAAATATTCAAAATAAGTAGCAGTGGAACTGCATAAAAATGAAAGTCAGGTGTTTGCAAACCAGGAGCATTCTAACAATGATGAATTGCATGATTAGAGCTGAAGGGAACAGTGGCAAAGAGGGGTTCTGAAGGTTTTATTTCCACTGACCATTCTGTTAATTTTGTGTTTGTGGAAAAATGGCATTGAAAGGTACATTAAATTGATCAGTGGAGACAAGATGGTAGACCCATAAAGGCTTTGAATTGTAGATAATGACCAACATCCCTTCTCCCAGTTTTTGTTATTTACTGCATTCCTTGTAATGGGAGGAATTTAACTTACTGGTTTTTGATGCTTGTGTGATTTGGAGAATATCCAGTTGAGTCTTGAAATACCTCTTAAGTAATTTTCATTGTCATGGCAAACCTGCAAAGGCTTGCTAAATGACTGGACAAGTCAATCAGAAATAGATGGCAGAAGGGGCTATTAAAAGAGGCCCTGAGATGACCTGCTGGTGAGTAGTTGAGAACTCTTTCTTTCACAGCTTCTGGTAAACTTTTGTTGCTCTCAGACTTCTGTTGTCTTCATGTCTTACAATGAAAACCCAAAGCTTTGGCTTCTGTGTTCATTGAAAAGAGGAATTTCACATTAATTTTTAGGGAACACAGAACACCAGAGAGCGAATCCTCTTTAATTCTATGTTTTTCCAGGCTATGTGTTCTGTTTCCTGTTTCCTACAATTTGCTCTGACATACTTCTTGTTTATCTTGTATTTCCTGTATTACCAATGAGAGGCATGTCTTCCGTGTTTCATTGGACTTTAAGATTACACAAACATGTGATATCAGGACTTAAATGCATAGAGTTGACTTCTCTCCCCCTTTTCCAGTGTAGGCTTTTCTGACTTACCCTTGAAGTGCAATTAACAGTTTCTCTAGCAAGAAGAAGGGTTGCATTGTTCTTTTTTGAACGGGTCTTCTAAGATAGTGGTCTGGACTTGCAAGCCCTCTGGGACTGTGATAAGATAGCGTAGCATAAAGCAGCCAGGGAGTTGTTCTAAATTCCATGCTGGATAGAGCAATTTGGGGTATAGGGCATCCCCCAGCATTTCTTTGCTGGCTCGTTTTTTATTTTGCAGTGGCTTGACAAAGCAGACCTTACCTTAGAGCAAAGTATCTGTCACTGACGTTCAGGAGCATTTCTTTCACTGTTGGCAGCTGTCAAGGGTTAAGCATATCTTCTGTGTAGCATTTTGTACAGTTGGTACATATTGTGACTATTTTCTGTCATCAGATGCCAGGAGTTTCTTGTTCAGGTAGTGGGTTTTCCTTAAGGTTCAGGAGTACAAGAGAAACAAACCTTTGTGATACCAGGAAGGTGATGGAAGAGATAAAAGATATCTGTGGTTGCAACAAGGGAGAGAAATGCTACAATAGTAAACTTCAGATCCTGCTCTTCCTTTTTTTTTTTCTTAATTCTAGGCAAGAGCTGAGGATGGGTTAGCACTTTCCCGCATCACATCTTTCTTCTTCTAATAGTATTCTTCCAGGAATTTTATTTTTCTGATCTCTTTCAAAATTAAGTAGTCTATTCACTGCCCTTTGCAAGTGACAGACCACCCTATCGCTACAATTTTCTTCCTGCAAGGAGTAGATACTTAGCCAAAAAGCACCTAAGTGTGCTGAGCTTGAGCTGTGCCTCAGGAATCACAGTAAGATAAACACATTTGGTTTTCTAAATAATGTGAAAGCTGATATCACTTGCCAATAGGTGTTTTGTGGTGGGTTTGTTTGTTTGTTTGTTTTAGTCAGGAGTATTGGTTTAAAGCCAGCAGATCACACAAAGATTTAGTAAATAATATTTCAAACTTGTTCATTTCAACAATTTATTTCAAACCTGATGTTCCACTGATGTCACAAAGAAGATGTTGCGTAACAAGGTCAATTGATAGAATGAATGGGAGGAATGGCTGTTTTTCATTTTCCAAATCTATTCCCGATGGAAGGCAGAAAAGAATTTTGCAAAGTAAGTAGTTCAAATTGCAAGACAAGGAAGCAGTTAAGGAAGAAAGGAACTTGTTCCGAGATAAAAAGCCTAAACTAAGGTTGTTGTGTTCAGCAAAGGAAGGATTTTGCTGCCGAAAGTCTCCACCACTTTACAAAAATGTCTCAAAAAAGCAAGATGGTAGGCCTTTGTGCAAAGAAGTTGAAGTACCTCATAATATAGATGGAAAATAGAAGAAACATACCTCTTAAGAGCCTTTATGCCCACAACATTGAAACAGAGTATACCTTATTAAAATTTAATACCTGTAATAAGTTTAATGAAGTCCTGACTACTAAGGGTACAAGTATCAGGACAGTGGTATTAAGGACTTAAAGCCAGGTGTACTCTAAGTTGTATGCACATGCAGATATATAAAGTGGGGTAACACAAATCCACCAAGGAAAAATTAATTTTCTTTTACAGGAGGAAAAAAGTGCATTTGGGGTGGTAGCAAATATTTGGAAAATATAAGTCCTGAAACAAAATTTTTGCGAGTGCTCATAATGCCACAAAACCAGTACGCCTGAACATATTGGAGACTACAGAGTGTGTACCATAGCTATTTCTTAATATTTAGTGGTAATTTTCTCATCTCTGCAGTTAAAAATGGGAGGGAGGAGGGAGAGAGAACGTATGTTAGTACTAGTAAATATGGCCTCTCATTAGGAGCTGGATGAAGAGAAGGATTTCCTGGTCATACAGGAAATCTAGTAGCCATTTGTATGTTGTTACAAAATGAGGGAAGATGATAATCTTGTTTAACAGTATACTGATCAAACTACAAATTGCATGATGATTTTTTTATTCAAAGCCCTTAGGCAACCACAAACTAAATTATATTTTTTAGAATGGCAATTAGTTGCAAGCCTAGTTTACAAATGGCAATGTTTGTGGAAACTGCTTCTCTCAAGCAAAGTGCAGAAGTGGACCAGACTAGGTTAAATGGAAGAAATCTTTTAAACACATTGAAGTAAATCCATAGTACACCTTACCTCTGGTATGACAGCAGTCATGTCTGGTATGACAACCTCTGACTGACAGTGGCTAAAGCTGTAGAAGTGAAAGGCAAGAGGGAAATCACTACTGATCAGTTTGTGCATTGCAGTGCCTTTAAGGAAAACCAGCTATGCCCACATGTTTCCTGGCAGATATATAACTAGTTTTTGAAGGTCTTCAGTGAGGAAGTTCCGCCGTGCCAATGGAGCTAGTGGTTTTTGTGTTTTCTTACACTCTTTGCCCTGGTGAAGTAGAAACTGTATTAGTCTTTCTGCAGTTCAAAGCTGGTGTTTCTTGTTTCTCTATGAATGTAAAGAGTAGCAACATCAGAAAAGTTGTAGCACTTCCCTCTTTCAGACTTCTATGTTTTCCATCCATGTTCAGTGCTTTCCTTTGTTTTACGTAAGTGAGCCTTTCACTAACCAGTCTTGATGTTTGACTCTGGTCTTTCTAAGAGATCCTCATCTTGAGCAAGGAGCTGCCAGAGCATTAAGCTGAGTACAACATAAGGATTCCTTCAGCTGTCCTCAGGAAAGCACTCCCATTTGTGTAACCATCCTGTAGCCATATGACATTCTTGACAGAGTTCAGCCTGTGATCTGCTCTGGTTCACAGACTGATTCTGCCATATTCCTAGCCCACTGTTCTCCAGTCTGAATTTATTCGGTAGGTTGCTATTTACTAGGTGTAGTACTTTGGTTATGCCTTTGCTGAATGTTGTGCTGCCTTTCTCGACCATATGTTACAGTGCCAGTTTGCTTTGAATTCTGTTCCTGCCCCTCAATACACTAGCATATAATCTCTGAGTCTCTATGTATCTTATGTTTAGTAGGTGTCTTTTCTATGCCAGTATTCAGGTCATTAGTTGAAATATTGACCAAAACAATTTCAAGAGGAGCTCTGGCAGGTAATTGTTTGCTGCCTTGCTGTAATAATTAGATAAACCAATCTTGCTTATAAAGTTTTGACCTACTGTTCCATAGTTTAATTCTGTGTCCTGCTTCAGGAATTTGATACTATTACTCAAGTAGTACTTGAAGATAGATAAAGTTTTTAATTTACAAAGTATCTGCTCAAAATTAACATAAATAATGTAATAAAAATCTGAAGAATACTGGATTGGACAGTCATGAATGATGTGTACCTTAAGGTGTTTGTAAGTGGATTTTTGACTCCAGTTTTAAACTTGTCTGAAATTAACCAGTTCTAAATGTGATGATTTTTTTTATTTTTTTTTCCAATTTACAGACTAAATTTAGTCACGGCCAGTGTTATATATCTGTGATATGTATCTGTTATATATCTTGTACTTTAATGGCTCGTCTCTCTCCATGACGTTTTTTGGGCCAGCCTTTATTTTGCCTCTGTAGCTTATGGTTTCCTATTAGAAGATAGACTTCGTACTACTACAGTCATCATAGTTGCTGTGTTTTGATTGACATCTGTTTGTCTTGACCAGAAATGATGTCTTGCTTGTATACAACCCCCCCACTTGTTTGTACAGTGCCATAAACAGTGCTCATTGTCAGGCAAGACATTTCCAGTGTCATATTTGTGTGTTTTACTGGTGTATTCTGCGGTTCTGTGATTGATCAGTACACCTTTCTCTTCTCCTCCAAATCATCAATTGTAAAATCAGCAATTGGGGATATACACATCAACCATATTGTGTGGTACTCTTTGTCACCTGCCAAACACAGGAAACAATATGATCAAATGGAATCCTGCTTGCCAAAGATACATACCTTAAGACAGTAAGTGTTTATTTGGCAACATACTGAGCCAAATTCGATTGAAATTTGCAGAATGAAAAACTGTTTGGAATGAAACATTGGCAAGTCCAGCAGAGTATGAGAACTACAGAATGAAATCCTGCCAGAACAGCTTGTTATGGACATTCTTGTGGATTGCAAGATGTTGCACAATGGAGGTGAGATTGTAAAAATCATGTTAATCAGGCAAGATGGAATATACAGTTCTAAACAAATCAGGAAAGAAAAAATTGTATGCACAGACTCTTCCAAATAGACGGAACCTGATCCCAATGGGGATAGCATACTTTTTAATAAGGGATAGCTATGAGCAGTGGCTCATCTTTGCTCAAGTTACATTTTTTTTTCCTCTTTGTTTTTTTTTTCTTTTTAGGGTGTTTCTGTGCCAGCAGGGAACAGGCATCACTTAGGTTTGTGTTCTGGGGCCAGATTGGAGTTAAGAGATGCTGCAAGCAACAATTGAAACCTGTGCTATGTATTTTATTCAGACTAGAACAAAACCTATAAGTTTTGTGTAAAAGGGCTTAGAAGGTAGTAAAGTGTTACAGAATAGTGCTGTGTGTCTGAAAGTCAAGCCTATGATTGGATAATGTTCTCCTTTTAGAAATATATAGTTTAATCAGTGGTAGCAGGTAGTGATACTGAAATCAGCTTGAAAGTAAACTTTCTAACACAATTTGAAGTATTAGTATGTAGGAATTCTTTATTACAGTGCTGGACACCTTCAGAGGATTTTTCCTCTAATCCAATGTGTGTCATGAATCTGCACAACAATGTGTTTATTCCATCATGATCATACATATTCATTAAAAAGTACTTCCTAGTTAATACATAAACTTCATTCCTCCTGGAATCAACTTACAGGCCTCCACCCTTACTAGAAGTCCTTTAATGGTCATTGAGTGTTATCTAAAGGGGCCTCTAGTGGTCATATTCACTGAGTGCCCCCAATATTGTAAACCTTGCCTAGAACTCCTCTGAGGGCTTGTGTCATTGTTTCTTGTTCCATAACTTTGCCACAAAACCTACTAGGTTCCTCATTATCATTTTATCCATTGGTTCTAGTATCCTATATGCCTACTTTTACATTCTTTTATCGAATTTTCTAGTTAGCCTTTAAGCTATATTTTGCAACTTCAAGGGAACTGAAAATTTCCATTCTTTGTGCTGTCTGTAAGTAGTTTCCCCTCTGGATAAACCTAGAAAATGTTTCCTTTTCTTTCCTGGAGCCTTTCTTTGTGGAATTTATTTACACAGTAATCTGATGTCTTAGAAACAGACATGGAAAGAAAGCACATGCTGTGTTGCACCTTTAAAGTGAATAGTATGACATCTAGGGCATAGAGAAGTAGATCCTATAACATTTTTACTCACCTGAATAACCCTTATTCCAGCAGACCCAAAAGGATGTAAGGCTGTTCTGTGTCCGATAGAAGATCTGTCTAGATGCCACTATCTAGGAACAGGCAGTGGTTTTAAGTTACTGTCCTGGGTGAGGAAGAACAAAACAAGAATCCAGTGCTTCTCCCTAACACTCCTGTTTTCAGCTAAGGAGCCTGCCTGAGCTGGATATGGTTTCTGCATACTTAGAAATTCTCAGTGTTTCCTTTCTCCAGATTCTTGTTCAGTCTTTGAAATAAAACAAAACTTTTAGCATCCACAATATTCTGTGGCAAGGATTTCTAAAGTTTGCTACTATACTGTGTGAAAACGCGCTTCTCTTTGGCTTGTTACTTATTAACATTGTTAGATGGCTGCTGAAAGAGATGGTGAAATATGTTTTTTGTTCACTCTTATGCCATATATGATTTTTTAGACTTTGAATATTTTGCTGTAAATTATGTTGTATCTAGACTGAAGGGTCTTAGATTACTTTGCTATTCCTCATACAGCTTCCATTGTACCGTATCTTTGTTCCTCTCTTCTTTTCCTACTTGGAAACTTTTTCAGATCTATATATCCTCTTTGAATAGAGGGGACTAGAGCTACAACAGTTTTAGTGTCACAAAACCTTGCATTATTCTCATAATTCCACATGATCTGCTTTATTCTTCGTATTATAACTAATGTCTAATATTTCATTTACTGTGGGGACTTCTCTCAAGCTGAGTTCCCATGGATTAGTGTGCCATAACCTTGAGATTGTCATGTTTTAATGGTACAGTACTGGGCAGCTCCAAACTGTTCATTTTGGTGTGACATTCGGTTTGTATGCAAGTTAATGTACTTTTGTCTTTATTGGATTTCATTTGATATTGTTGTCACACAGTTTTGCAGGGTCCTTCTGCAGTTCATGCACAGTCAGCTGTTGCAGTTTTTATATCAGTCATGGCTGACGTCTACACCTCATGGCTCACTCTTTTTCCCCATTCACATTTTTTATAATGAAATATTGTAGGTTCCAGAAGAGGTTCTGCAATGGAATCCAACAGAACTCCATCTGGAGCCTCCACTAATTGCAAGAAACTAATTGTTACTTAATAAAGAAGTAACTGATTACTCCTAAGCTTTGCTTTTCGTTTGTTTGGGGTTTTTTTTGTTTTCATTGCTTACTTCTGCAAAGACCTTTTGCAATGGGTTCTTAAATTTATAAAACCTGTTGGTGAAAGACATTGTCAAAAGCCTTTTGGAAGTTCAGAGTGTATCTATTTACCCATCTCTGTCTATATGCTTAGCCTCTTACAGTAATAAATTTGTAAGGCAGATTTTTTCCCAGTTTAACTATTTCCAAAGCAGTGGCTTTATACCCAAGTGTCCATTAATTATCTTTTTTCTTGGTTTCTATTTTTTCTAGTAATGACTTGTAGCTTCATCACATCTCCCTTTAAAAGTTCACATCACATTTGTCATGCAGCTATTCTTAAAAGTGAAAACTGTTTTTAGAATGAGATTTTCAATTGCTTTAATCTACTGAGAGTTCTTATTCAGTTATTCCACCCATATTCCTTCAACATTGTGAACTGCAGAATGTCAACTATTGTGTCTCAAGTAACTGATCTTAGCTGAACTGAAGCAAACTAATCAATCAAACACTAAACTTTGAAAAAACCTGATGCTTTTGTGAGCATGCTGTGCTCCAATGAGCCAAGCATAAATTAACAGCTTTAAGCTGGGGAAATTCCCCTACCCCTGTTGGAAATTAGTAGACCCCTTCCCCGCAGGATTGGGCTGCAGAGTAAGCTGTTTTCTCATGAGCAACCAAGCCCTATCTTGCACAACTGGTAGTTTTACCAGTGGGATGTAGAGTGAAACTAATGCAGATACCTACAGAGTGGTCTTATAACTCACATTAGCTTCTTTCATTTTTAAAGTATTATACTCCATGAAGTATTCAGTAGCAGTTTATATAAGCCTCTTAGTAAGGACATTGGAAATGTTTTTGCATGTACCCCTCTTACATCAGTAAGGTTGACAGACTAGATGTATCCTGTCACCACCACACAACATGAGCTCCAGCCCTAGCTAGCATGCTATTATTCACAATCATTAATTGTGATATTCTGTACAATTTTCTTCCTTGCTTCTTTGTAAACAAAATAACTTGCTTTCCATTAATTGAAAGCACAACATTAATAGGATTTTATTCATACCTAATTGAAATAAAAATTAACTCCCAGAGGATACATGTATGACAATATCTGGAATTGCTTTGACACTTCTGACATGTGCCCATCACCACATCACTGTTGTTACTCTTTGCTGCCTGTCTGATCAGGCTGAATGTTTGCTTCAGCTTGGAGTAGTTTAAATTTCCATTGTCAGTGAACAACACACCCCTACCCACAATGAATTTTAGGTCAGTGAGTGATGAGGGTGGCCAACTGACAAATCACAAAGCCATCATCTGGGAAACCAGGTAGCTGGCATTAACAGAGGTGTAGAGGTTTGTTTTCTGTAAGAGTTCACAATTCTGTGACCCAAAAGGGCCCAGGACTGTGTTGGTATCAATAAATGGTTCTACCACTGCAACAGACTGCTCTTTTGGAAACTTTCTTGTATTTAAATGCCTTTCCAATTGTGTGAAATTTGAACAATTTCCATTTCTTGCCTCACAAATAGAAATATTAATCTGGCAAACATAACCACATGGTTAGCAGTTCTAGTGGTGGTTGAAATTTGTATAGTTTTTCTGATGTTTCTTATCTTGTAGGACTCTGAAACAATATTTCAAAGTAGAAATGAAAATCCATTTATAAAGAAAAATACATAGTTTTATCCAATGCACTGCTGTCATTCTAAATATCTTTTCCCTTTTTCTGTGTTTTGGTATGTTTAATATCAATGTATTAAACAAATATGCAGTAGAAACTTTTATCCTTTCTCCAGTAAAAACCACTTTCAGGCATTCTCTCAACCCCGAGGTTGTAAGATTCTGCTTTCCAAATGAAAGATCACCAAGGAGTGTTCTTTATATATGTGGAATGAATAGTGTCTGGGAGCTGTAACTTGTTTATCATTAGTTTTAGTAAATTTAGATGTTTTGTAATGAATTGAGTATTAGATCTCTTTGGCTTTTCTCTGTAGTGTGAAGTAATTTAGAAGCTTAAGTTAGTTCTTGACTTAATGAGATTAACTACACTTAATCTAAAATGTAGGCCTTGCTGGGGTCTAGGTTAAAAAAGGATTAAGTGCTTCTTCCTTAAATTCTTATTGTAGTTACCATTAAACCCAACAAAAGATTCCAGTGAATCCATTGAAGCTTAATTGAATCTTCTAGCATGTTGAAAAATGTTACAGCAAGAGAGACCTGTGTATATCTGAATTAATATCCCTTTTTTGTGTGTTTATTATTGTTGTGATTGCCAATAGCAACTTTATGTAGAATATTGCAAGACTGTGCTGGACATTCTATGCTAGAATAGAGTCCCTTGGTGCGCTGTAATACTTCTCAACTCCTCAATAAATGTTACTTATGATTATGTAGCTGTTTTATTTCTTACTGTGTTTGAATGCTACATGATACAAATACTTTTTTGGTCTCATTTGTTCACTTACTTGCTTTTTCTTTTAGTGTATCTTTAGATGCTGTCAAAGAGAATTTTTTTGCTTTCATACTGTTAAACTGTTACATGAACAGGTGTTGCTCTAGTTGTCTTATCAAAGTCAATGGGGTTACATATTGAGACATAAATAAAGAATACTGACGAACCTGGCTTTTACACAAAAAAAGTACGAACTTTTGTACAGCTCTAGCATTAACCAAGTAAAATAGATGACTATGTCAGTAACCTGGGGTTCTGGACCAGTTGCATGCTTCTCTGTATTTGGTAAATCATGGTGAACAGAGTGGAAGATATCAGATTTCACTAGAGTACAAAGTTGAGGAAGTGTGATCTAGGTTAACTAAGAGGGTTATATATGTATAAGAGGGTTGCATTTAGTGCCTACACACCCCACATAGATGAACTTAACTCAGTCTTAGGTATTCCCATGAGTCACTTCTTTATAACTCTTTGGTAAATTATATCGGTAATAGAAGAGGAAATTGCTTAAATCAAGTCTCATGAGAAAGTCAGTTAAATGAAAACATTGTACTTCCTATGACCACTAAGAGCTGAATTCAGATTTGTAAGACAAAGTACAGCATGAAAAGGTTTATTGCTGGCAATATAAATGTTCCCTGTAAACAGTATGACTAGTGTAAGTCACCACATTAGTCATTTTGAATGGTATAAATTCCCTTGCTATTAATATGCTTAGGAGTTTTATATAGATGTTTAAATAACTGGATGCAGATATAACAATATTTCTACTGTTGTAGAAGAACTGCCTGGTTCTTAAATCTTTTACTCATACAAGTAACCCCATTAGTTTTGACTGCTCTTGATTTATGCCTCTGAAATTCGGTAGTTTCAACAGTTATTTCTGACTTGCAGTTTTGTAAGTGAGAAGGTGCTTGATCCCATGGGTCTGGGTAGATGTTTACAAGTTTCAGGAAAGACATGATGCTTATTAAATATTTCAGAACCAAGATTTAAAATGAAATGAATATGTGCAATTTGTTGTGACACTTTCCTTGCAGTAGTTTGTTAAAAAATAAAACCTCTTAACTAACCTTTGTACTGTTTGCATGAATGAAGTAGCCTGGTCAGAATTTTGTCAAGCCTCCTTCTTATACTTTATTATAATTACATATATGACAGCACAGGTGAAGAAACATTACAAAGAAACAATAGTCTTTAGAGCCTGGAGTAGCTAATAATGTATGGTATATGGCAGTTCTGTTTGCTCCTTCAACATTCATGACACTGCATGAGTGTGCATCCTCACTTTACATTTGTTTTGTGATATAACGTGAACTAGGATTGGAAGTCAATAATATAGAGCCAAAGCTGATTTCCATTGACGTAGTATATAGTTTTGACATTATAAATTACAGATTATTGAGTTAGTAAAGGGGAAAAAAAAAAAAAGATTTGAGAAAGCGGTGGCAATTTAGTTGACTTCTCAAAATTAAAGGTTAAGGGTATTTGTGTCCTTTCTGATTGCTTCATGAAAATGATGACTGTGGTACTGAAACAAACATTACCATATTGCCTAACAGCTTCTTTGCAAATAAAAAATATGTTTGTTATGGCTTGAGCTTGCAAATGCATGATGATTGCATTGAAATCACTTTAAATACTTCAGAAGTTACTTTTGTTTATTCAGCATAATATAAATACGCTTTGTTGTGCTCATTTTTACTTGCAGAAACAAGGTGGTGACTCACTCACTGGGCTTAATAAAAAGTGGCATAAACTACCAGTTTATGTTATGCTGGTTTTTGTATTGAAAATAATTTATATAAAAGATGAATGAAAATGAAGGAAGTAACTGATTTTCTTCTGAGCATTTTCATGAAAAGTGTAATGTTGCCCTGGAACTGCAAGCCCATGGTCAGGTTTGCTGCGTAACATCACATTACTTTGACAGGGACATGAGCTTTCTAGTTGCTGCAGTGCTCACAAGGCAAAGCTCACAGTTGCAGTTATTAATGCCTGTAATTACTGTACTTGAATTTTAACATTTCACATGACAAATGTGGAAATGGCTTTCTTCACTATCTCTCCCCAAATATTTTAGGCTAATAAATCTGTTGGAGTATACACTTCATATAAACCCCTCTAACACTGCCTGTCCAATAATTAAGGACCCGTGTTCATTAATTTCTAGGTATGTTTTTGAACATTGTTCTAATAGTCACAACGTGTTTATCAGTCCTAGAGAAGAGGTGGATGAAACCTTACCAACCTTCAAAGAAAATTTTCAAGGACTATAGTGGCATTTTTTTTCAGTTTAATGCTTGAACAATCAACACAGTGTCCAGATATCTTCAGCTTCTCACTTTTTATTCATTCTTAACATCGCTGAGGGCATATTTGTGTGCCCTCAACTATAGGGAAGTGGTACCACATAGCAAGTGTTCAAAGGGTGCTGCTAATACACAGCACAGCTCAGGTGTTTTCCTCCCAGAAAAGGATTGATGTTCTCAGAGCTGAAGCTGCAACAGAGAAGGGTAAGGGT